TTCGTCCGTTATCTCATTCACGAATTTCATGGCAGCCTGAACCATCTTAGCAACGGCCTGCTTCAACTGGTTTCTTTTCTTTGACATGATGATCAGGTGTTCATTCAGTTTTTGCCACTGCTTCAATTCTCCTAGAATATCAACAATGCAAACAAGGAGACGTCCAGTAGAAATGGCATCAGACGCCTAGCAAGCATATATAACAAAATTGAATTTACCAGTCGCGTTTGTTTCTCCAATGAATAACACTTATCCAGAGCTTCATCAATTTTGCCAGCCTGACACAAAAATAAACAATATAAAATTTACCGTAGCGAGGCTCTGAAATATTGGAAGCTGCTCATCTACGGTGGTAGAGAAATCATGTTCCATCTTTTCTAGAGACATCTTGATTTGTAACCCCGAAGCACTTTGACAACTATGATTCAGATTCAACCAAAAGACACACAGAGTCTTATTCTGATTGGATAGGACAGTTATTTGGCCTTGATTGAATGGTTTTTAAAAAGTTATCGTATTTGATGTCTCAAAGCATTTATAGTGGCAATTTATATTAAATGGGGACGGCACGACTAATAATTCATTTATTTAAAAACTATTAACAAATTTAATATTGTGTATTTATTATGGAAGTTGATAACGTAATAAATAGCACTATATGCCAGAAGCAACTCAGTTTCAGAAAAATTCAGAAGAGCTACTGAATAAGAAACTTAAAGTAATTCTTTATCCTTATTAATCATGCAGAATTATTGAACTTTTAAAAAGCTGTTTTCTAATTATTTTTCTGTGTGTCCCGCCTAGTTAGGCTTTTATAAGGTATCTCTATAAGGCCAACTCAATTGTAGAGATTTTCAAATTCGATTATCAACACGAACCATCGCTTAACCACAATGAATCGTGTCACCGGTGAGACAGACTCACCTAAATCCGCCTTTCTCGATTGGCACAGCTTCTGTATCTCAGTGTTGAGGTTAGAGCCCCCTCTTTTTCCACTTTTTTGTATATCTGATTAGAGGTCCTTCACCCATCGATCATTATTTTATACACCTTGTTTCGCAATATTTGCAGACATTTTTACTGTTGTTAATGTGTCTACTCAGATGTGGTGCAATTATTAGGCATAGTACCTGGCCTTATTAGTGAAGGGATTTGTGAATGGAGCCCCATTTGCCATTGCTTGTGTACTTCGATTGTGCATAGTATGTCTTTTGGTCTTTTTAGGAGGCTGAGGATTGTCTCTGCAAATTGGTAGTGAAGAAGACGGTTCAAGCGAAGATCGATCGCTTGGAGAATGTGGTGCGTTTCACTGAGAACAAACTGGCCACTGATATTCTCAATGATTGGTCGCACAATGTTTCTTCTCTCATGTCTCTAATCAACGAGGCAACTCATCTCATCAACAAAGAGCGTATGGTTCATGCGGTGTGATTTTTTTCGATGCATGCCTTAATAAACGTATACGTATATATATATATATATATATATATATATATTCATATACTATGACTTGTGTTTTGGTCTTTGGTCCATGTTTATCTTGGGTTGGGGTGGCGATGTGTGGAAACATTCTAGTCCCTTGGTGGTTGGTATTCCCAGGTGATTTACTTGTTGAGCTGACAGATGGTAATCTTTAGAAATCGAGTAACGTGACCAATCTCTGTGCTTGAGAAGAGACGGAATGAAGATACTTGTTCGAAGAGGTGTCAGGCTTTTAATTGAGGATTATGAAGAAAGAGATATTCTTATTTCGATTCTATCCGAAGTCCAGCTCGCTTTTCCCTCATTTCACCTGTTTTATAAT